CCATTCGGCTGCAGCTATTTCAGAGTCATCCTCATCATCATCATCCGACCCATATATGTAAGGACAAACATGATTAACCTTCTTAGAGCTTTTCCTAGCTTCCACAGACCTATGCTCGTGCAAGGTTACCTTCTGTATCAGATATGACAAGCTATCAAAGTCTTCAGACGAGAATTTCTCCTTAATCGGAGCAATCATACCCTGAAAGGCCAGATCGGCTAACTGGGCGTCAGTTAAACTCAAGCTGAAGCATTTGTTCCTCATCTCCCTGAATCTCTGAATATACTCGTGCACAGGTTCATCATGCCACTGCTTAATCACCGTCAAGTCAGATAATTTCATCTCATGAACCCCACTGTAGAAATAGCTGTGGAATTGCTTCTCCAAATCGGCCCAACTATTGATCGACCCATACGACAAAGAGGAAAACCAAGAAAAAGCCGATCTAGACAAAGATAACTGGAACAACCTAACCCTCAGAGCGTCCACAGCCGATGCTTCACCACACTAAGCTAAAAATCGGCTAATGTGCTCATAAGTTGACACACCATCTTGTCCTGAAAATTTGGAGAAGTCTGGAACTTTGAACCGATTGGGAAGAGGAACTCTCTCGAACCACTCAGGGTAAGGCTGCCGATACAAGTTTCCAGTCTCTTTTGGTTTAAGCCCAAATTGTTCCCTCATTACGTCGGCAATCACATCGGCCCACAGTCGTTGCTGAACTGCTCCCTGTGACTGTTGTTGCATGGGTTAGAACTGACCGTACTAAGACGCAAACTAGGGTTGAGCCAATCCCCCTGGCTGATATTGGGCTTGCGGGGAAGGAGGCTGATATTGATAATTCAAGTTGCCCCCCTGGTAATTATGAAGGTTCGGCTGAATATTATGTGCCAAGTGCTCGGGAACAACTTGAGGCATTACTATGCCATCTGGCTGTACATGGTGAACCAAGTGTTCTGGGACAACTTGATTTAAAAATTGTTGTACAGGCTGTCCACCAGGCGTCGCAAACCCGGCCGATGCGCTCATCGAGCCTTGGTGCTGAATCGGCTGAACGATTTGCTGTTTTAACGGCGTCTGCTGAATCGGTCGCGGAGGCTACTGCCTTGGTGGCGTTTGCTGAACTGGTTGCACAACCTGTTGCTGAATTGGTTGTACAACCTGTTGAATCGGGGGTGTTTGTTGAATCGGCTGCTGCTGTATTGGATCAACAGTAGGTTGAGGTGGCAGAAACGTGGCAGCAACCTGATCTTGCGTCAGCCGATTCGCAACCTGCCCACTATGCTGTGGCTGCTCTCTTATTAACAACCGAGGGTTCACCAGCTGGCCTGGTGCCAACGCTGACGGAGCAGATAGGGGAGTCGATGCAGGCGCCGTCGGCTGAGCTGATGGTGCAATGGGGGGAACTGCCTGAATAGATGGTTGAGCTTCAGTGATCAAAGGCCGATAATTTGGAAAGACACCTCCTTGCAAATAAACTGGGCCTGCAGCCTGATGCTCACCTATTGAACCATCGGCTATTGATTTCATCATGTTTGATAAGGTATTAACTAGCACCCCAGACTGATTGATCAAAGCATGGTGCACAGCATAGTCGACCCGATCCTGGAAGTTATTAAAAAATTCCTGTGATGCATTTCCATCCTGATTAAAATTTCCTCCCTGCAACCCCTGAGCCATCACTTTGAACTCCATGCGCCCCATCACCTTGAACCCCATGGACTACCTGAGAATTGTCACCTTGACCTCCTAGAGAACCGTCTGTAGCACCTTTGTCACTCGGTTGAGCTGAGCCGTCCGGAGCTTGTTTCCCGTGTTCACCTTTAGAAGAACTGGTCCCAGGATCATCGGCAACTACCTTTACTTTATACTTCTGAACCAATGTTCCCTTGCGAGTCTGCATGAATGAGTTCAAGAACTGATCCCGTGCCTGCTGCATCATCGCGTCGAAATCTTTCTTCTGATCAGGTGTGAATTTTTCTGGTTCAATGGGCACGACGTTTCCTTCATTGACGTCCGTCAATCCCAACTTCTGGATCTTTTCCTTAACAGTGCCTGGACTAGCCTGGGATGGCGACAGCGGTGGTTTCTCAACCATGAGGAAGAATTGCTTGCTGACTTCTTATCTGTCCCACTGGGCGTGCCAAATGCGTGTTGACGTAAAACACGAGGCCTGGGAGATCTGCTTAACTCCATTGCAGGTCCAAAGCTCACCTTCAGGTGTGTTAGCGTGCCAGTTGATTTGATCCTGCAATCAACAAGAAATAGAAACAAAGAGATCGCAGTTAAATCTATAAATGATTGCTGATCGGCTAAGTGCCGATGACATATCATTTATCTTTGAGTCGATGTTATATGTGAATCGATCGGCGAGTATAAATAGATAATAAAGAACTAAACCTACTCGATCGGCTGTAGATATTACCAATATATAGTTCTTATATCGATATATATTTAAATCAAGTGATTGGGATAGATCGGTCGCCATGCCAAGATAGTAAAAATCACTTGGATCGAAATATATATTAATAACAGGACTATATATGTTTATAGCATAGCCGATCATATAGATCTAGCATGTATTGGCTAATACTCCGATACTACTCTATATCAGGATATTAAAACAAGTATAATATATCAAACAAAAGCTTAATATACTTAAATGCAATAAGATCTTGACAGAAAGGGCGGATTTAACATGTCACTTAAGCATATAGAGCGAATATGGTTAAATCAGATAAGATCGGCTGAAACTCCGATACTACCCTAATCGGCAACCAGAAGGCAGGCTAGAGATTGATATTCTAAGCACGACTTAATAGATCAAACTCAACTGATGCAGCATTAAGTATGAAAAGAAGAACAATATCTAGACAATCAAGCCGTTGGAAGTTTCATAGAGTGGTGGATATCTTATATAATCTAAATCAACATCAAAATCTAACCTAATCGGCTGCCCTCTACTAACAGATGTTAGCCGATTGTAGGTTAGATAATGATATTGCCAGAGATTATGTACGATATATGATAACTCGACGAATTACGTAAACAAGATTAGAGTATCATAAAGATGGAAGCACTAATCCCGATAACACAAGCCATCATAACAAGTTTTACCTCTTGTTGAAGATCAAAACCGATGCAGCTCAACCCAAAAGTAAGAACTCGTCGAAATAAAACTAAAGCAAAAAGGTGGCGATGCGCCGAAATTGTATTGAACATTGTGTGTTTAATTACATAGGGCTCGGAGTCTATTTATACCCGAGAATTACAAGATATGTCCATACCGGACACGACTATTATCTCTAACAAACTCTAAGATACCACAAGTCTTTACGACAGACTTTTGCCTAAGCATATCTCTGAGAAAATTACATAAAATGTCCTAATTAATAGATACAATTGCCTTCCCAGGACTCTATCCATGCGTGGCAATCATCTTGAAGCACCTCAACTCAACCCGATGTCGTACACCAAGTCGTATTGTTGGAATCGGCTGTATCACCTAACCAAGTCTGACTCTAACTTAGCCGATCCAATCGTAGCCGATCCGGACTTCAGCCGATTCTTACTCTGTTTCCGCGACAATCTTCATCTTCGACCCCGCTTCAATCTAATCTTCATCTCCGATACAGATATTACCAAATTTGATCGTTACCAACGGGCTACTCCCTTAGCAGTTGCCTGGCGTTGCTAGCGAGCTTGTTGTTGGTGGCGAGCAGCATTTTCTGCCCGAAGGCTCTGCTTCCCTTGATCACGTTCGGTGAGCCATCAGTGTTCTGCAGCAGGCAGCGCGTGGTGGCCGGGCTTGGCGTCGGTGAGGGCCATGTTCTATCCGTGGTAAATTGGCCCCATGCATTCTCCTAGCATTACCTTTGCCATGCCGTCGCTCTCCTCAAGCGCCTCAACGGCGTGCTCCGCAACCATCCTTGCCTCAACAACCAACCGAGCCACGTCATCGCCACCATTGCGTAGCTAGTTGTACTTGTAACCATAGTTGTGGTCTACTGCCATTGCGCCATGTGTGAGTTGGTTAGAGTTCGCGTGCAGCGGCTGCGGCACGGTTGTGAGTGATGCTAGGCTCGGAGGCGACCTCGAGGCTGTTTATGCTCGACGCCTACCTCCTCCACCTCCTCATCCCGGCCTCCTCCTCGTCTCATGTGCCGATGTCGGCCATCGCACACGAGATACATGCACGTGCTGGTTAGCATGTGTTTGCCGCTATCGCTGTCTCCCTTCGTGTGTGGACAGGCGGTCGAGCGCGAGCTCGCTCGGGGCTCCTCCTGAGTCCTGACTGTCGTCGCCATTGTTTTCCTTCACGCGCGGATGGGTGGACATACGGGATGAGGAGGAAACTGATTTTTTTTTTTTGTTTTTTCCCCTTATTACTTATAGTCTTTTTGGCATGGCTCTAGCTCCAGCTCCACCTCTACTGAATCTATAGTCTAGCCAAATAGTTTCAGCTCCATCTGGATGGAATATTGTCACAAAATAAACTAGATATGTGAAGCTGAGTTTGGGCTCTCCATAACTCCACTCTAGACCCAACTCCTGAAGTTAAATTTAGGAGTTGGAGCTTTACCAAATGATCCCTAAATATGTGGTCATATGCGTATTTTTTTTTATTTCTTTGATTTGATGACTAGGTGGCACGTAGGCGCCAAGTCAGCAAAAACTACCGTCAATACTAATACCACCGAGGAAGTCATTTTGCAAGGTTTTAAGTATTAGAGGGGTAGATATACCCAGTTTTGCGGATAAGGAATATGAAGCATATTTAGATTATGGAGTATTTGAGGGAGTCGTATTGCACTTTTCCGCATGTGAAGCACAACACGTTCACGGGCCGAACGCGTGGCCCATTAGATCCACCCTGAGTTGGGGCTTAGAGAATTCGCAGTCTACTTTCTAGAATCGGCCTGTTCCTTTTCCATTGATTTTCACAGTCTTTCTTGTTTTTTTTTCCTCTTAACAAAAATCCCAATCCCACAAATATCAATCAATAGCTTTGCGGCGACGCCCTTCCTCGCGCGGCCTTTTTTTAAGCTTATCTCTATCACTCGCTCTTCCGACCACGCCTCATCCGCCATGGCCGCCTCCTTCCTCCGCCCTCTCCTCCCCCCGAAACCCTTCCTCTCCGCCACTCCTAAACCCCACATCCCCGCCGCTACCCCCAGTGCCATCGTGCGCTGCACCGCGGCGCCCAAGCCGGCCACCGGCTCTATCGCCAAGCCCAGCCAAGAAGAGGCCAACAACAACCAGGAGCAAGAACCCAACGCCGCCGCCGCCGCCACTCCGGACGAGGCCGGCGCCAACCCGCACCGCATCCCCGACGACGAGACCCCGCCGTCTGCGACGGCGACCACGTCGTTCGCCGTGGCGCGGCGCGTGCCGTCGGCCATCTCCCCCGACCGCCGGCGCCGGACGGCGCTGACGCAGGGGGAGCCGCCGAACTACGAGATCGGGTGGAAGCGCACCAAGAAGCTGCCGCTGGAGAAGCCCAAGGGGTGGGCCATCGCGGACTTCATGGAGAAGCTGGAGGGGCTGATGGCGCGCGGGCGGTACGGGTCCGGGGAGCTGCTGGGCACAGTGGCCGGCGTGGTGACGGAGCGCGCGCGGGAGGAGGCCGAGATCCTGGTGGCGGAGGGCGGCGTGGAGGAGCGCGTCGCGACGGAGCTCTTCCGCGTGCTCCGGCTGGTGGAGATGGACGTCGCGATGGTCAAGGCCGCCGTCAAGGAGGAGACCGTCAAGGAGCGCGTCGAGATGGCGCGCGCGCGCTGCCGCCAGGCCATCCTCGTCGCGCTCTCGCTGTGACGACGGACGCACCGCGTGGTGCCCAACTGTAATTCTGATTCCTTCACTGATTTCTCGCATAGCCACTATACACAGTTGCAACTGGTCATCAGGTTTTTCGTGTATGTATACCTGAATTTTCAGTAGCATTTGCAATCAAACACTGAAACCATGTATACGAGAAATGGATGGGATAGCCAACTACGTGCACTTATTATGCTGCATAATTTCAACCGGCAAGCATGACAAGCAGAGGAAACACTAGCTAAGTTTTGCGACATTTTGCAGTTATCCTATCTCTTTTTAGTTACCAGATGATTTCCTGCGCGTTATTGTGAGGATTGATTCATATGGAGCAAACAAATAGTTTGAGCAAATGACTATAAATAGCATGGGAGAATGAATAGGAACCATCAAAATCAAATCTATCGGCTCAACTTGTTGATTGATGATACGGTGTGTCATGGATGTGCTTATTTGTAGGAGTTAGACAGTTAGTAGGATATAGTTATAACTCATTCACTGTCGCTACTGCTACAAAGTAGCCACCAAGAAGCCGCCTAATCACTTATCTTTGTTCTACTTCAATAATAGAGTCAGCATCACATGTACTCCTAAATCCTAAAAATAGTTGAGTTAAAAGTTTTAAAATTTGTGTAGAGTTTCTTTTTTCAAGTGCTGAGCTGAAAAGTTCAAATTTTGGGTAGTTTTTTTTAAAAAAATATTTGAGTTGAAAGTTTCAAATTTTGATTAATTATATTTGAATTTTGAGATCAAAGTTTTAATTTTTTTCATAGAAGTTTTTTTATTTAAAAAAATGAGCTTGACACTTTCCGTTTAAAAAAGTCAGATAAACCGTATAGATGAAACCTATATATATATGGTGGTTGCATCGCATACTGCTTCCTACATCGACACTCGAAATCAGCACGTACCATGTTCCTTGAGTGGGCCTTATATGGGTCAAAACCATGTGTTCCAACACAGCTACGCTAATTAGACCGAGGACGGCGACGATCAATGGCGAGGAGGAAGCCATTACGCCATTTGCCAATAGCGATGGAGATGCCCTTGGCTTCAAAGGGGGTGTTCAGATAAAGTTTGAGCGTGACACATCGAATATTATATAGGGTGTCACATAGGGTGTTTGGGCACTAACAAAAGAATTAATTACAGAATTCGTTAGTAAACCGCGAGACGAATTTATTAAGTCTTAATTCGTCATTAGCAAATGTTTACTGTAGCATAATATTGTCAAATCATGGAGCAATTAGGCTTAAAAGATTCGTTTTGCAAATTAGTCACAATCTGTGCAATTAGTTATTTTTTTAAGTATATCTATACTTTATATATGTGTTCAAACGTTTAATATGATAAGGCATAAAGTTTTACCGTGGGATATAAACAGAGCCAAAGTCTATCTTTGCCTCCCCTTTCGATCGCTACCAGGAGGCAGGGACCCTCCCCTCCGCGCCACCATTCTCCTCCGGTGCGTGCTCCTGCGCATGCTAAGATGGCACTGGTTTTGATAGTTTGAGTTTGCGGTTAATGGATGAAAAAGAAGCTCGATCCATAATGGAGGGCCTAAAGTGGACTTTATACATTAGTAAATACGCACGGCAGGTCACGTTCTCTTCCAAGATGGGCTTTGTGTCAGTGTTCTGGGCCTTGGTAGCTCAGCCTTCTATTGTATCTTGGCCCGGTGTGGCGGTGCCTCCGGTGTGAAGTTTACCCTCAAACATTCTTAAAAGGAAAAAGTTCATCGAAGGTCCCTCAACTTAACAGCGAGATTTTTTAAGGTCCCCTAACCACAAAACCAGAAATATGTACCCCTAAACTCACTCAAACCGTTCAAACAAGGTCCCATGGCAGTATTTTTGCCCGGTTTTACTGGTGTTGCATCCTAGTCAGCAAAAAATAAAAAATAAATATATGGGGCCCACATGTAAGTGAGAAAAAAAGTGAGATCTCTCTCTAGTTTTTTTATCTTCTCTTCCCTTCAAATCCACAACCGTGCCAGCGGTAGAGGTGTGAGAGGTGGCGGCGGCAGCAGCTGCGCTCGGCTGGTGGTAGGTGGAGCGACGGCGTTGGCGGGCGAGCGTGACTGCGGAGCATCGACGTCGGTAGTGGCAAGCAGTGGGTGAGCGTGGCGGCGGCTCCGGGTCACTGCCATCGGAGTTAATACCGAGGAAGAAGGAGGGTGTGTCGGGAGCCTCGTAACTTCACTGTTGCTCCTCCCGGTGGCGCTCCTCATTGTCGTCATTGTCGGAGGGGGGGGACCGGCAGCGGGCGAGAGCGGCAGAGGGGAGAGCGGCGGCGGGCAAGCGCGACAGAGGGGGGACCACCGGATGGCGAGCGTGGTAGAGGGAAGAGCGGCGGCGGGCAAGCGCGACAGAGGAGGGACCGACGGCGGGCGAGCGTGGCAGCGGGCGGAGCGAAGCGGCCGGAGTAGGCCGCAGAGGGGGGATGGCGGCAGGCAATACGGCAAAGCGGCGGCCGCCGCCACGCTTCTCATGCTTCTCAAGCTGTAGCTGCCGCCACGCTTCTCGAGCTCCACCTCTGCGAGCTCCGGCCCTCGATCCACTCCACCAGCTGCAGTGCCTCCGCCGCCCTTCGCGGCTGACCCTTCTCCGCCCGCCCCCGACCCCGCACCAAGCGCCCCGTCCCCCATCGCCTTGCCGTCCCCGTCGCCACGCCGCGCCCCTCATCTCCCGTCGCCACGCCGTCCTCGTCGTCTGTAGCGCCCGTTCCATCGTGGCGCCTAGCGGGAAAATTTAAATTCTAAAAACCATAATTGCGAAAATTGTTTCTTTGCTTGTAGTCAGTCTCCGTGCCAATTCCAGATCTCAAATCCCCAATCCATTGTCGAATTCAAATCCCGAATCCAATTCCTTCCCAAATCGAATTCCTCCGCAAAAGTCTAATTTGCCTCCCTCGGGTTCGGTGGGCCGTTTCCCTCTCGGCCCATCTGTCTATGTCTGTCTGTCTCTCTCTCTCTCTCTCTCTCTCCCTCGCTCTGCCCGTGCGCCGCGCGCGCGTGCGCGTGAGCGGCGTCGAGCCAAGCGCCCTCCCTCTCCGCTCTCGCTGCCGCTTCCCGCCACCGCCGCTCAAATCGCCGCGCACCGTTGCTTCCCACGCGCACGCACCGTGGTGGCCGATCGCCTGGTCGCCGCCGCCATCAGCGCCTGCCGCGCCTGCCCGCGCCTGCCGCCCGTGTCGCCGCTCCGCTCCACACCGCCCCCGCCGTCATTGCCGTCGTCACGACCCGGCCCCACCACCTCCGCGCAAGCTTCCAAGGGATGGAGGCAGAGCCCTCCTCCCACTGCCCCATCGTTCTCTCTCTCCCTCCTGCTTTTCCCAAAGTAGCAAGGGGCAAGCCCCCCTTTCTTCCCTCTTTTTTCCCTTTTCTCTTCCCGCCGGCGTCATGCCCTCTGCCGCCATTTTGGCCGCGAGCGTCGGAGCGCCAGCTCGCTCCTTGACCACCCAAGGTTGGTTTCCGAATCGACATTGCCATCCTATAAAGCCCAGGCGCCCTCCCTTCCTTCTCCTCTTGTTTGTCCCATCGCCTCCACTCCATTGTCGCCGCCTCCCGTGCTCTGTTCGCCGCCGCCTTACGTTGCCACGCGTGCCGGAGGAGCCGGCGCGTTCGTGGACGCGGAAGGGGACTCCGGGAGCTCGTCTTCTTCTTCTTCCCCGGCCCGAGACCGGAGAGATCACTCCCGTGCCGTCGGCCTCTCGTCACAGCGCCCCGTCCCGTCTCGGTAGAGCTCTCCTCCGTTCTCCCTCTTCGCTCCTCATCCTCCCCTTAGATTGTGTGGTAGCACTCGTAGTACCCCTAGAAGCTCGCAGGCGCCGCCCAAAACCTTGCCACCGCCCGGCGCGGCCTCGCCGCCGTTGCCGCTCGCCGCCGCAAACCGCCGCTCGTCGCCAGCTTCTCTCGGCGTAGCTCCGCCCAATCCGGTGCTAGGAATGCAATCTCGAGGTCATGTAGATGCTCTAGTCCGGAGGAATCGAACCCTAGTCGCCTCGTCGTCGTTCCCCTCTTCTCTCGCCGCTAGTGGAGGCCGCCGCAATCCTCCACCGACGAACTCCCTCCGGCGAATCCGAGCCATTGACTCGTCTCCCCTCGTCTCGTACAAGCACCCGGTGTGCTCGCTTTCGCCTGTATCGCCGTGGTTCGCCCGCCATTTGTAGCGCCCGTTCCGTCGTGGCGCCTAGCGGGAAAATTATCTCTTAAAAACCCTAATTGCGAAATTTGTTTCTTCGCTTGTCGTCTAGGGTCCGTGCCATCTCAAGATCTCAATCCCCGATCTATCGTCAAGTTCAAATCCGAATCCAAATCTTTCCAAATCAAATTCCTCCGCAAAAGTCTATTTTGCCTCCCCCGGGGTCGATGGGCCGACTTTCTCTCGGCCCATCTTCCCCTCTCCCCCGGCCCTCTACTCTCCCCCGGCGCGCTCCCGCTCTCCCTCTCTCTCTCTCTCTCTCTCTCTCGCCCCCTCCCCTCCCCCGGCGCGCTCCCTCTCCCCTTCTCCCTCCGCTCCGCTCCGCCCCGCCCGCGCGCCACGCGCGCGTGTGCGCGAGCGCCGCGCCGAGCGCCCCCTCCCTTTCCCCTCGCTCTGCCCGCGCATGCGCAAGCGCCGCGCCGAGCGCCCCTTCCCCTCGCTCTCCTTCTCCTCTCCCTGGCGAGCTTCCCGCTCGCGAAGACGGCCCCCGCGCGCCGTCGTTCGCGCGCGCGCCCGCGTGGTTCCCCGCCCGAGCCGTGTCGTCTGCGCCGTCCGCGTCGCCCGGCCCCGCTGCTCTGCCGCGCCTGCAGCCGCTCGGCCCCGCGAGCCAGCGCGCGTGCCCAGCCGCGCCGCCCATTGTTTCCCACGCGCGCGTGCCGAGTGGCCGACCGCCTGGTCGCCGCCGCCGTCACCCTCTGCCGCGCCAGCCCGCGCCTGTCGCCCGTGACGTCGCGCCGCTCCAAACCGCCCCGCCGTCATCGCCGTTGTCATCGCCTCGGCCCCACCACTCCCGCGCTAGCCTCCAAGGGACGGAGGCAGAGCCTCCCTCCTCCCTCTGCCGCGACGCCCCCTCTCCCTCCTCCTTTTCCCGAAGAGGCAAGGGGACAAGCCCCCTTTTCTCTTCCTCTTTTCCCCTTTTTCCCTCCCGCCGGCGTCATCCACCTCCCTCCTCCCTGTTGCCGCTTTGGCCGCGACCGCCGAGCGCTAGCCCTCTCCTTTAACCGCCCTAAGTCGGTTCCCAAACCGACATTGCCATCCTATAAACCCGAGCT